CTAGAATATCATCCTAGCATCGTAAGCAAGCCCCGGAGAGCCCGAAGATCCCGAGAAAAGAGTTTTTCGATTCGAAACTCTGTCCGCGTGAAGCCCGGTTTTTGAGAAAACATACCGGTTTCATCGAAAAAGATTATTTTAAGGGACGAAGTGCTGTCCAACCGCCGTCTTATCAGGTGAGTGTGTAGTCACTTTCATCTTATACATAAATATGAAGTATTTTCTATAAAATACGTGCTATGTGTAATTATATTGTTTGTTTATTTGAGTGGGTGTTGAATAGATGTTTTATACGAGTTTTAAACTGTATATATGTATTTTTATCTACAAATAGATGAAATAGTTGATGTGTGTTAAAAAGATGAGAGGCATCGATGTTGTTGTTGTTGTTGTTGTTGTTGTCATCTAGCGAAGTATAGATGATGACCACAGACCTTTGTAGACAGTCCAGTGGAACGCTAGCAGGCTCGCAACCTGTAGGTTGTTGGTGAACGATATGTTCGCTAGTGTACTCCATCCCCCTCATGGTTGTCTTATTTGACATAAATTTGTTGAGGAATCCCTAAAGCAGTGTTGTCACCCCGATGAAAATCCTTAGGCTAGGTCCCTTATGATAGGTGTTTAGGGACGTAAAGTGAGGATAACGGGAACGAGTAATCAGGGTTATTGTTGGTTGATGAAATTAATAAATTTATTATTGGTTGATGAAATTAATATATTTATTATTATTTGTGGGTTGAAAACCCTATATGCTCACCAGGCTCCCACGTCTGACCCACTCAGCTTTTTATATTAAAGGTAGTGGACCCCAAGCATAGTTGGATGACGACGATGGATTTTTGGATTATAGGCCAGTAGATGTAAATAACTGTTGTAAGGCCTATATCGTACTGTTTATGCTTTTGGTCTGTATCGGAACATGACATCTCGAGGTTTTGTTATATAATGAAAATACATTTCTTTAGGAAATGCTTTGATAAATTTTTATCATATTTTGTTTTGGGGACAAATTCCGCAACATCTTTTGGAAGATTACTCTGATTTTATTTTAAAAGCATAAACTAAATTGATCTTTTCTGGCTGAGAAAATTGGGGATGTCACAGGTGATGAGTGTGGAAAAGGGAAATTAAAGGAAGTCTTCTATGTATAAGGGCTTAAGTCGGGTGATATCCGGAGCCAAAGTTTTTACAGCTACTTCCAGTTATCGAGGTGAGTTACCTTCTAGTAGAAGTGGCTCTAAGGTACCAATGTCGGCCCACTAGTAGGTGTTTATAGTAGGGATGATTGTCTTTGTGATAATTGGCTGGTATGCCACTATTTGTTATGCTTTATGTGCTAGGATGCTATGATATTATGTGATAGTGGTAGGAGGGGTGAAATAGTCCCCGGATACCGGTTGAAAGAGACTGAAGGGGGTAGACAGTACCCATATATGCCTAGGAATATGTTTATGATATGTTATTATGTGGTAGTGGTAGGGGTGAAATAGTCCCCGTAACCGGTTGAGATAAACCGGAGGGTAGGTCGGGCACCTAGATATGCCTGACAGGGGTAGGTCGGACACCCCGATATGTCTGACAAGGGTAGGTTGGGCACCCTGGTATGCCTAACATGGGTAGGTTGAGCACCCATGTATGCTCAACAGGGTAGGTCGGGCACCCAGATATTGCCTGACAGTATATGTTTATGTGGTATGATGGGAGAACTCACTAAACTTCGTGCTTACGGTTACAGTTTTGGTTTCAGGTACTTCTTCTTCGAAGGGAAAGGAGCCGACATGACTGCAGCGCATCACACCACAATTTTCTGCACTATGATGTTCTTGGGATTTGTACTTTATCTTATGACATGTTTTTGAGACATATGACTTATGAGTTTTTATGAAATGAGATAACTTAATGATGTTTTCAATAATTTGTTTTATGAATTATTAAATTAAAAATGAAATTTTTGGTCTTGGATTTTGGAATGTTACAAATAATTGTTGAAAAGCTGAAATATTTAAGTTTTGATATCCTAACTTTGATTGATTGTAACCCATTGAATATAATATAAAAAACAACAAAATTATAGTCTAAAATCATCTACAAACTCTAAATTATACGTTGAAAAAAACCGCATGTCAATCAGACTAAAAACGAATGAGATATGTTTGTTTAAACAATTTTACAGAATACAAAATTTTAATTTATTGCTGAAAAACTAAAATATTTCAGCTTTGATATCCCAACTTTGATTGATTGTAACTCATTGAATATAACACCAAAAACAACAAAATTATAGTCTAAAATCATATACAAACTCTAAATTACACGTTGGAAAAAACTTCATGTCAATCTAACTTAAAACGAATAAGATATGCTTGTTTAAACAATTTACAGAATACAAAATTTTAATTTATTGCTGAAAAGCTGAAATATTTTAGCTTTAATATCCCACCTTTGATTGATTGTAACTCATTGATTATAACACTAAAAACAACAAAATTATAGTCTAAAATTATCTACAAACTCTAAGTTACACGTTGAAAAAAACCGCATATCAATCTGACTTAAACGAATGAGATATGTTTGTTTAAAAATTTAATTTTTTTTATTTTATAAATAAGCCGGTTAGGTTTTTACCTGGAACTGGCCGAACCGGACCGGTAAAAAAACCGGACCGGTCCGGTCCACATGTCCAAATGCTCACCCCTAATTGTGATAACTAAGTTGTTTGAAGATAAGAAAAATGAAATATAATTAATAATAATAATAATAATAATAATAATACTTAAAAAAATGTGTTTCTACTTTCTATATCTAGCTTTAGAGCAAGGGTCTCGGTCCAAATGGAGAGCGAGTCAACGAAGTCACTCTACGACCGCTTGAAGAGGAAGAGGCGGTGAATAGTCTTACGTGGCAAGGTCGTAAAAGGAAAAAGGATACACATGGCCCGCAAAGTCGTCACTGGGCCCCACTTATCGGATCGAACCGGTCCTCTCCGGTCCACGAAATTCGTTGACTTGTGGGTACTATCCCTGCAAGAAGAGTTAATATCTCTTTTCTGTTTTCCCCATGAGTCAATTTGCTTTTCATTCCCTATACTTTTGGGGTTTTGTAGTTTTTTCCACCTAAAATAACTTTACAAATGTGCTAATAAAATATAATCAGAAAACAAAATAAATATTTAATAAGTTATGCTGATTTCTTTAATGTGTTTGGAGTAACTTTTTGAATGCTTTATTATTATTATTTTTTTGTGGAGTTCATCTTGTTGTAATAAGTTTTTTGGTTTGTGGTATCATTGACTTAAAAGAACGTAATTTAATTTCTTGTATCCTGTATCTCCTGATTAGTTTTTTGTTATGCTTTTTTTATAATAGTTTTTTTTTTCAAAAAAATTAATGTAAAATAACAATAAGCATTTATTTATCATTTTTTTGAAATTTTCACATTCTTATGACCAAGTAGTGCTAAAAGGAGTTGAAATCCACAAAAGAAATGTGATCAAAGTCTAGTTTGACATACATGCATAGAATATCCAAAAGGCATAAAACTTGTTGAAGAAGAAGAAAATACATTTAATTAACGATTTTAATAATAAGTTTAACTATTATATTCATTACTATAATAGTATAATTAAAAAAAGATCACTTCTTACAACCCTTGACTTTTTCTCTACTTTGCAAATAGTATTATATTTTTGTTCTAATATTATAATTAAGCTTAAGACTATCTAGAAGAGTAGGGAGTTAAAAGTGTAAATAGCAAAATGTTTAGGGTTTAAAATGAAAGTTTATAGAAGTAACCCGTCGTCACGAGGAAGTGCCGGACCGCTTGGGGCGGTGAATTTTTTGGGAACGCGTCAATCTCATCTTTGACAAATCTCAGACGCAATCAATGTCACTTTCGTAACTCCTGTGGGTCCCACATGCCACCTGTCACAATCTTCACACTTGTTCTTTCTTTTCGTTTTTTTTTTTTTTTTATTTTTTTTTTATTTTTAAATTTATTATTTAATAACAATATTTTAACATATTCAAATAAATTTCATTAAAATAACTTTAGTTAAGAATATCATTCAATTCAATTTATAGGCTTTTATTTTTAAGACCATAATTGAAATCAAGTTAATATTTAATTAAGATTAAATATTATCACTAAACCAAAATTGAAATCAAGTTAATATTTACCAGTTATTCTCGATTGTTAAAGTTACATAAATATGTTTATTTTTTGATAGTAAATAGATAGCTACGTAGGAAAATTATAACAAGCATAGCATATACAGAATAACACAAATATCAGAATCAGTTTGTTATAAAATAAACATTTAAATATAAAATATATATAATTAAGTAAATAACTATGTAACAAATGACTTAAATCATGAAAACTACATAAAGGTGGCCATTAAAAATTAAAAAACAAATATAATTAATAATCTTTTGGCCCATATATATAATTAATTAATTGAGAATAAACCACAACAATTTTCCGTTCCTATTGGCCATCGCGTTGAATAAAACGATTACATCCAAGTTGTGTGGTCAATTTTCATTCTTGTGCCCTTTTCTTTCTCCATTATTTCCTTACATTTTCAAATTTATGTATTATTGAATTGAATTTTGTGGTCTAATGCTTACTTAAATAACAAGAAATTTCCAATAAAAGAATAAAAACAAAATAAAACCCCATAAACTTCTGGTGAGGAAAAAAAATCAATAATTATATTTGTCAATAAATATAATTCAAATTTATTCCAATAAAGTCCTAATTACAATTTAAATATTAAAAATCAAATAAAATTTAATTAATTTAAATAAAATTTGGTTATTTGTTTAATTTTATTTTTTATTTAAATATTTAAATAATTTTATATATAACATTGACCATTTTAATTAGATAAATATGTGAATAAAAGATTTTTACGACGAAAGTAAATTGTTTTTATTTGTATATTCTTTTTTAGTATCAAGTCTTGAGTCTCAACTTCCCCTTTTTATTGCCGAGTCCACTGCCTCTTTGAGACTTGATTTCTGTTTCTCTCTTCATAAATGGCCAAACGATCAAGTGGACTCTCCTTTGATTCAGATCCCATCAGATTACTATTTCCACACAAACTCACCGCCATCAACTCCTTCCCGGACCACCGCTCCACCAAGTGGAGACCCATGGAGGCCGCCACCGGCAACGTCAACACCTCGTCATCTTCACCACCACCGCCACCACCTACCACCATCCAATTCCCACTCAACCTCAACTGCAACCTCCATGACCAGCATCATCATCATCATCCTCACAAGCAGATAAACGAAATGGATTTCTTTTCCGACAAAACACATGATGTAGAAGAAGAAGAAGATCGTTCCAGGTTGCAGCCTGTCTCCTCCTCCGATCCACCGCCTCCTGTCACCGAATTGGATTTTAATATCAACGTACGTAATTACCAAATTAATCAAATTAATCCATTTTTTTTTATTAATTTCTCGTGTTTGTTGATTGAATTTGATTGTTTATGATGCGTACTACAGACTGGTTTACATCTCGTAACCGGAAACACAAGTAGTGATCAGTCGGTAGTTGATGACGGAATCTCTCCCAATTCCGAGGATAAACGAGCTAAGAATGAGGTCTGAATTAAAATTTTTTACCTAAATTTTACATGTTCATACTGAATCGTATTGAAAACTAAAATTTGAAATCTATGTAGTTAGCAGTGGTTCAAGCTGAGCTAGAGAGGATGAACACGGAGAATCAACGATTGAGAGAAGTGTTGGATCAAGTGACGATGAATTACAACACGCTTCAAACACATCTAGTAACGATGATGCAACAAAAACAAAGTCATGAAGAACAATCTAACGAAGATCATAAAATTACCAGTAACGAAGGTGGAGGAAGTGAAGCAGCTACGATGGTTCCGAGACCGTTTATGGATCTAGGTTTAGCAGCTCCGACTGCAGCTGAAACTGAAGAAATTTCACAGTCATCATCTGATGAACATTCAAGATCACCACCACTTCATACTAACAGTAACATCGATCAAAGGGAAGAGAGTCCAGATCAGCAAGTGATTAGAGCTGGTAATTCTAATAAGGTTCCTAGGTTGAGTTCTTCGAAGAATAACAATACTACTAACATCGATCAAGCTACTGAAGCAACAATAAGAAAAGCTAGGGTTTCCGTTCGAGCTCGATCAGAAGCTCCCATGGTATATAACTGTTGATAATCGCGATTGAACTTGATTAATTTCGTTATATGAAATCTAAGTTAATTTCGTAAGCTTTTTAGATTGCAGATGGGTGTCAATGGAGGAAATACGGACAAAAAATGGCAAAAGGAAATCCTTGTCCTCGAGCGTATTATCGATGCACCATGGCTGCTGGTTGCCCAGTTAGGAAACAAGTACGATTGTTTATTTCAAGAACAGTATTTAATTATTTGACTGAGATTTTGTTATATTAATTAAAGTAAATAATTGATTATATATGATTAATTTCAGGTACAACGATGTGCAGAAGATAGAACAATCCTGATCACCACCTACGAAGGCAACCACAACCACCCATTACCACCGGCGGCGATGGCTATGGCTTCCACCACCTCTTCCGCGGCTAGAATGCTACTCTCCGGGTCCATGCCGAGCTCCGACGGCCTCATGAACTCCAATTTCCTAGCCAGAACGTTCCTTTCTTGCTCCTCAAGCATGGCCACCATCTCCGCCTCCGCCCCCTTCCCGACGGTGTCATTAGACCTGACTCAGACTCCGAACCCGTTACAATTACGTAGCCCAGGTCAGTTTCAGGTACCTTTCTCCAATCCTCAACAACAGAACTTCACCGGAGCAAACGCCACCCTCCTCCCCCAGATATTCGGGCAGGCTTTATACAACCAGTCGAAGTTTTCCGGTCTACAAATGTCGCAGGATATGGATCAGGCGGCTGGAGCCAGCTCCCAGCTCGGCCTTCCGCCGTTGCACCACCAAGGGGCGTCACCGGCAGCTTTGGCTGACACTGTCACCGCCCTCACTGCTGACCCAAACTTCTCCGCAGCTCTAGCGGCGGCGATTTCATCTGTTTTTGGCGGTGGCGCTCAGCCCAACAACGGTGGCAATACTAATAATGGAAACGTCACTACCACCAACAGCAATAACAATGGCAGTGCAACTACTAGTAATAATATTAGCCATGGAAACAATAAAGGCAATTAATTCATTACAATTAAAAGGATTTAGTTTTTTTTTTTCTTTTTTTTTTTTTAATTATTCGGTCATTAATTTATACACATTTTTTTCTTTGTTTTTAGTAATAGATTTTTTTCATTCTTTGTGGTTTGAATAAGGCAGACTCTTTTTCAATTATCATTACTCAATAATTATATATAGAGAAAAAAATTAGAAATTTACTCTACTGTTTGTTTTGATTTTTTGTAAATATTTATCTTATTTTCTTTGAAGCAATAGTCAAATCATACATACATATATATAAGCACAAAATATTTATTATTCACATGTTTTAAATCGTTTTTAATTATTACTGATTGCATTCATTGTTTCTATATAATCTTATCTTTAGAGATAACAACAATAAACATAATAAACATAAACATAATTTATTAATCAGTGGTTTAATGAGAGATAAATAAATATTGTATAGTAAAATAATTAATAGGAAACATAATAAATCATTATGCATGTGAGACAAAAAGAGAAGTCAATGAAATTCAACGCCATTATTGTCGTTCTCACCTAATAGCGAACGTGAGCTCAAGTGGTTTCGAATTTGAATATATTCAGGCATTATTTTATTCAGTGTGTGACTTCGATTCACTAAGACGAGGAAGAAGATGATGGAACCGATCCATGGTTAGATAATAAAAAAGTCACCCCATGATTTCATGAGTTTGTGCGTGTATCGGTGTATGTGTACGTAGAACAAAACAAGAGGACAATATAACCCTAAAATAGCTAATCGACAATTGTCAATATTGGTCCCTCAACTATACATAAATCCAAATAATACTAATCCAAATAATGAACAACAGGAGATGACTCAGAAAGAACTCAAGAAGCCATTGTAACAATAGTAGTTCCTAAGTATTTTTGGCAAGAGCATGATACTTACATTCAATAGTGGACTTGTGAGTGAATCAGGGGCGGAACACAAGTGTTACAACAAGGGGGGCCGGAATCAAAACTTCATAATTAAATATATAAACAAATTTTATTTGGTTCAAATTTATGACATATCAAAAGTGTAAAAAAGAAAAACAATATAAATATGTTACATCATTTATCAAAGTGGAACGAGGCGATCTTTTGCATTTTTAAAGTCTTGTACAACTGTCTCTAAACTAATCTTTTCAGCAAGTTCCCATTCGAAATGCAAAACCAATGAGTCATTCAAAAACTCGTCTTCCATTTTATTCCATAACTTTGTTTTAATGAGGTTCATTGCTGAAAATGACCTCTCCGTTGTAGCAGTAGAAACTGGAAGAGTAAATACAAGACTAGCTACTCGATAAATAAGATGAAAGTTCGTTATTCTTCTAGTCTTTATCAGCCATTGACACAATTCTGACACATATGTCAATAGTTTATAATATGCATGTTGAACGACATCAATCTCATAATGTTGAAGTTGTATCTTCAAAACTACTTTCTCTTGTTCATTGAAATCTTCAGGATAAAACTTCTCTACTAACTTAATTACATCACCACTTCGAAAGGGCTCATTAAGACTTTTAGGATCTAAAGTTGTTGAAAGTCGAAGCAATTCTGTTGATCTATCACTGAATCGATGATTTATTTCCATTAACTGACAATTAATTGCTTCATAAAATATATCCACTCGGTAATGATGTTCAAGTGTATGATCACTACCCTCGTTACGTGCTCGAGCCCCTCTACTAAAGTATGGAGAAGACATATCGGGGATATCAATGTTGCGCTCCTGACAAAATGAAATAACAAGAGAGAGTAAACCATCCCATCTTTCATCTTTCATTTTTTGCAATAACAATTTGGTGGATGCAACTAGCCTCAATGCATTACAAATATCTTGAGATTGTCTTTGTAAAGCTTGACAAAGCAAATCAGTGATCTCCATTATTTCTTTCTCGAGATGAAGAACAAAAATGAACTCAAATGTAGTAATAGCCTCATATGCTGAATCTGCGTCGCCTTTGATTGAACCGGTTCCATCCTTAATAATTTTAAGTAAAACCTCACAAGTTGGACTAAACATTTTGATTAAGCTTGAAACTGATTTGAGGTGAGAACTCCATCTAGTATCACCAGCTCGTTGTAATGTACCAATTTGATTAAGACCTCTACCTGTCTCTAACTCGTCAATAGAAATCTTATATGCAATTTCCTCAGCTTGTGCATCTCTAAGTTGGTCGGTACGCTTGGAGGAAGCACCAACAACATTGATAACAAAAGATAATCGAGTAAAAAACTTTTGTAATGCAACAACTCCTTGTGAAGCAGCCACTAATGCTAATTGTAATCGATGGGCAAAACAATGAACATCGTATGCATAAGGAAAATCATTTGAAATCAATGCTTGCAAACCCTTGAAATTACCTCGCATATTGCTTGCACCATCATACCCTTGACCACGAATTGACTTAAGATCAAGATTGTTACGTGACAATACAGAATAAATTGCATTCTTAAGAGTTTTTGCTGTAGTGTTAGGTACATGAACAAGCCCAAAGAAACGCTCCATAATAAAGCCATCTTTATTTAAAAATCTCAAAACAATTGACATTTGTTCTTTATTAGACTGATCGCGTGCTTCATCAACAAGTAAACAAAATTTTCCACCATTAATCTCCTCACAAATCATCTTCCTCACCATAGTTGATATAAGGTTTAAAATCTCTTTTTGAATTGATGGTGATGTATATAATGCATGTTTAGGAGCAGTACGAAACAATTCTTCCAACTCTGTGTTAAAATCACCAAGTGCCTTCAATATTTCACGAAAATTTCCTTTGTTTATAGAATCTTGTCCTTCATCGTGGCCTCTATATGCAATTCCTTGAAAGGCACACAAACGGACTGTATAAATAGTAGCCTTCAATCTCAATCTATTATTTTTACGCTCTTCTTCTGTAAATGTCTCAAACACATTCCGTATATCTTGCACCTCATTTAACAAATCATCACATGATTTTTGTGCAACATTGTGAAAAGATGTACACTCAGAGCCCATGTGCTGCAAAAAGGCACAACTTTTTCCACCAACTTTCTTCCAGTTCTGAAATCCATCTATAGTAAATGCTCGTTGGCTGTAGTGTCCCATTCCAGAAGGTTTGTTGAATAGAAAACACGAAAAACAAAATGCAGCATCTAAGCTCTTCGAATATTCAAGCCAAGGAAATAACTTAAACCAAGAAACTTGAAAACTACGTTTATGGGTTTCAGGTCCAGATTTCGGATATACAGAAAGTATTTGTTGAAAGGGACCAAGATTAATATATGCTCGCATAATAGTATCTCGTTGACTAACAGGATAATCATAAATTTGCTTACGCAAACCAGGACCTCGTTCTAATGTACTAAGATCAATTTCATTATTTTCAAGATGAGTTTTTTTGAAACGGTTCTCACGAACATTAGGCATGGGGGAATCTTCATCCAAAACAATCTCCGGCAGGTTTTCAGAATCTTGAGTAGAACTTGAGTATTTTCTTTTGAAAAATCCATCAATAGTAGATTGTTTTTTCATGTTGATATAAACTTCACAATCAAATTTACTAACAATTAACAAATAACAATATAAAATATATACAAATAGAGTATTTTATTTTCAAAAAATAATATAAAATGCATATAATTTTAATTTGTTTCATATTTTTATATAATTTTAATTTGTTTCATATCATAATAACAAATATAAATACACACAAATATATGATACTATATATATATATATATATATATATATATATATATATATATATATATATCATCCGTTCAAGAAAACTTATATACAATTAAATAAAAACCATTTAAAATAAATAATAAAGTAATAATTATTAATCTCTTAAATCAATAAATACTATTGTCTAGTTGTATGTATGTGTAGTCATAATCAACATGAACCATTTTCTACTTTTTCTATTTTATTTATATGTTGTTGACTAACAACAGAGAAAAAGTAATAAATAGACCTACCTATAAGAAAAGAAGAGTCAAAAAGCTAAATACCTTTAACTGAGAATGGAATGGAGATCTACGAAGAAAAAACTTGGGGAAAGGCGGAAAGCTCCAGCAGGCTAGCACTCAAGCGCACGACGGTTGGCGGTCAAGTCTCAATCCAGGCTCCGACGACTAGTAAAGAGGCGAGAAGGCGTACGCAGGGGCGGACCGTCATAGGGGCCGAGGGAGGCCATGGCCTCCCCGCTTTTGGGTCTCCTAATACCCGTATATGCATAACCAAGTTGAAAAAAATAACTAGAATGACATATTTGCCCCCCCCCCCCCTTCCCCCCCGGTTTCCAGATCATGTCTATTAGTCTATATAAATAATATCTTAAAGTTATGCAATCTGGATAGGAATAACAAGTAACAAAATTTCCGGAAGATCAATAACAAAATCAAAACAACCTTGTTTCTGTAGAATTTATAAAATAAGGAAACTCAATATGACAATATCTATAAAAATCTATAAAACCCCCAAATTCTAATCAAATTTACATCAATTTAACCCTTTAACAAAACTGAAAAGTGAAAACCAAAACCCAAAATTTATTCCGGCCATCGAAAAACTACGTCTCGAAACTCACCGGAAAAACTTCACCTGTTAAGGCTGTTGCTGTCTTGTACTTTTTCCGGTCGCCGGATTGTTCGTACCGTACGCCCTCTCGCCTCTTTACTAGTCGCCGGAGCCTGGATTGAGACTTGACCACCAACCGCCGTGCGCTTGAGTGCTAGCCTGCTGGAGCTTTCCGCCTTTCCCCAAGTTTTTTCTTCGTAGATCTCCATTCCATTCTCAGTTAAAGGTATTTAGCTTTTTGACTCTTCTTTTCTTTATAGGTAGGTCTATTTATTGCTTTTTCTCTGTTGTTAGTCAACAACATATAAATAAAATAGAAAAAGTAGAAAATGGTTCATGTTGATTATGACTACACATACATACAACTAGACAATAGTATTTATTGATTTAAGAGATTAATAATTATTACTTTATTATTTATTTTAAATGGTTTTTATTTAATTGTATATAAGTTTTCTTGAACGGATGATATATATATATATATATA